TCTAAAGGGTACTTGTGCCTTATCCCTAAAAGAAGAAATAAAATTCAAGATAAAAGATAAAATTTATCAAACTTTGAACCTAAAATTCTCCAAGTTGGCGTAATGATATATGTAACATCTCGCAATTTGAAATAACTAGGAAGAAGCTAATAATTGGAAATAGTCATTTTTGGAAAGAATGAAAATCTGGAAATTTGGCTAAGTTAGGAAAAAGTGAGTTTTTGGTCAACTTCAAGCGATCATAACTCCTAGCTCAGGTTGAGTTAGGTGTAATTCCAGAGATGGTTGGAAAGCTCTTGGAACTATCTTTTCAACGCCGCCAAGTTTGTGCGATTCCGAGTTCGTATGAGTGAGATATACCCTTTGGAAGTTGGGCTGTTGAAATGAGGAAAGTCCAATCCGGATTTTTAAAGGGTAGTTTGGTCTTTTCCTTACCCTTTTATTCTAATTCATTTTTGGTAATTAATTAGGGGTCTAAGCTGAATTAGATCAGTTTACACTTTTGGAAAAAAGGGTTAGGGTTTTGAGAGAAGAGAAAAGAAGAAGAGCATTCAAGATTCGTCGATTCTTGGAGCTTTGCTTATGGATTTCGTCGGGGGTGATCCTTACAAGGTATGTGAGATCACATAGTGTTGGTTTAGTTCACCCACACGCCAATCTTGTTTCAATTCAGCGAATTTAAGTTGTTTGAATGCAAAGAAGGTGAGTTCTTGAAGAACATTGTTGAAAATTCGTTGAGTTCTTGATGGTTGTGTTGTTGAAGTCTCTTGTTGATTTGATTTGTGTTTCCGGGTGAATATTTCGAGTTAAATCTGTTGTATATTGAGGATACTATTGATCCTAAGTGTTTGGGGAAAGAACCATGAAAGTTGGGAGGGTTTAGAGATGAATAACGAAGGAGAAAAATCGGAGTTTTCTGGGCAAGGGCTTGGGGCGCCGCGCCAGCCAGAGCGCCACAGCAGTCCCTCTGAAGTTTGAGGGCTGGCGCCCCGCGCCTCTCAGAGCGCCAGGGACGCCAGTTCTCCCCATTCGTTCCCCACCTTTTAGTACGTGTTCCTTAGTGATGTACCTACATTTTCTAGTTGTTTCCAACACTCTAATGTACATCCAAACATCATGAAATCATCCATAAACATGAGATCATGAACCTTGAATCCATAATCCAATTCAAGGAAAGTTAAGATCAAAGTCAAGAAAAGTAAGAGTCAAATCAAGATGAGTTCTTAGAGTCTTCCAAAAGTCTTTTCCAAATGTTTTAACTTTGTTTAAAGACTTAAAGTTCAAGTTGAGTAAAAAGTAAAGTTTGAAGTTCATTTCTTCAAAAGTATATGGGGACTAAGTATTTCCAACGAGATTTAAAATGTTTTCACATTTAAATAAGAATGGAAACTGAGATTTTCAAAGAGCCTTCGGGCTAGTTTTCAGAAAAGAGTTATAGCTTTCTAAATGAAGCAAGCAGGGAAATTGAGATTTCCAAGATAGCCTTTGACCTAAATTTTGAGCACTAATCTCAAATCACAGAAGAAGTATGTTTTTAAAACATAAGAGCTGGTATATTTTGGTAGTATTGAGCATCGAATTGGGGGCTGACATGAGTTCAGATAACTCACGTCTCCATAAAACCATGTAGCCACCATGGGTAGAAATGGGTCATACTTTTTAGATGAACCCTTTTCGAAATAGACTAGTGGATCCATTAGGCAGTTCAGGTCCTATACCTTTGGCCAGGTATAGGATACGCTTGCAGCGTGAGGTAGATTGTTGTATCATCACAATAGCTCTTATGTGATGGTTGTCGATTAGAGAAACTTCCACATAAGTTATTATATTTTTATATACATCAGTTCATTGTATTATATTTAATACATCTCAGAGTTATTTATATCTTTGCATACACACAGAGTTTATATCATGTTTTTAAATAACTTTTCTTTATATTGCACTTGCTTTTAATCTGCTTTATATTGAAATGAGTTTAGTCATGCTGAGTTGAGTTGAGCCAGGTAAGTTCTTCAGTTTCTCTCAAATTCTTTCTAGCCTATGTTGTTTTAGCATTCCAACTCGCATACTCGTACATTCAATGTACTGCTATCAGTTGGCCTACATCGTATTATGATGCAGACACAGGTAACTATAGAATTGGCTTTTCGGCGCATCGTTGATCCAGTGAGCAGTCTAGAGTCTGTTGGTGAGTCTCTTTGCCTTCCGGATGATCCATTTCATTGCTTTCTAGTTTAGTCCATTAGGATGTTGTAGGGTCTGTCCCAACATCTATCTCAGTTGTTATTAAAGGCTTCATAGACAGTCATATGTTAGTCCTTCAACTCTTTTCAGTATCATTTCTTATTGTTAAGACTTGGGTTGCCACTTTTGGCCAAGTTGAATGTTTAGCTTTTAACATTCTCAGTTATCTTATGATTCAGTTCAGTTAAGTGTTATTGACCATTAAGTATGAATATTGTCTTCCGCCGAGTAAGTAAGCCAGGCCAAGGGTTCGCTTGGGGCCAACAATGGTTTTCGAGTGCCAGTCCCGCCCAGAGTGTAGGCTCGGGGCGTGACAATATATGAACCTCACTTTATTTTTAAATGAAACGAGAGATTCACACAAACAAGAAATTGATTAAATTATCATCCATCAAATGGAGTAGTAATGAAGCAGTGGGAATTTATCAAATGAAATTGATAAATTTATCTATTATTTATTTTAAGGATAAGACAAAAGTATCCCTAGACTATGACTAAAATTTCAGAGACACGCCTTAACTAAACTAAGGTCATATTACCCCTGAACACATTTTTTTTTGTAATTTTGTACATTTTTTGGCTTACGTGACATCCAAGCATCTTCCACGCACCTCAATTACGTGGGGTCACAGAGTATGTCACTTACGCCAAAATGTATACAAAATTACAAACAAAATGAGTTTGGGTGGGGGGAGGGGTAATAGAACCTTAGTTTAGTTAAGGTGTGTTACTGAAATTTCGTAATGAAGTACTAGTAATGAAGCAGTATCAATTTATCAAATGAAATTGATAAATTTATCTTTTATTATTTTATATAATGTAATAGTAATTTTGAATTATTTATTTATTATTTTAATTATGAATATACCACAAAAATAATTTATTTTATCTATGTTAATTTTTTTAATGATGAATTTGGTTGAATGATTTTATTGATGTAAAGACCTAAGTTGAGTGATTTTATTAATATTAAATAAAATTCAATAACTTTCATCGATAAATTCTAAAAGTTAGAATGAGATTAACTCCTTTCTTTTTTACCAGGTCAGTCTACTCCCCTTTTTTCACTCTTTAATTTCTCACAATAATGAAAAAGGTAGGGTTCAATTTTATGACAGATAGGAAAATGATTGTAAGTTTACCCATTATTCTGCACTCACAATAGTTTTGTCAGTTAGGCTTCAAATATTCCTCTTTATCAAGTAGCAGAACAAATTAAATATGCTTTCTCACCATATACCTAAAGCTGAGAGTTAGTCTTTAGCAATATTATTCAACAATGTCTCATGCTTCTTCTTCCAAAATTTGCAAGTACAATGTCTTTTTGAGTTTTAGAGGAGAAGATACACGTAGAACTTTTGTAAGTCATCTACATAAGGCTTTGGAACAAAGTGGAATCCGCATTTTTAAAGATGATGAGCGATTAGAAACGGGAAAATCAATTTCTGATGAACTTTTAAAAGCCATAGAAGAGTCTAAAATTGCTATAGTGATATTTTCAAAAAGCTATGCATCGTCAAGATGGTGCTTAGAGGAGCTTGCACACATCATAAAGTGTAAAAATGAATTGGAGCTGATAGTGATTCCAGTTTTCTATGATGTGACTCCATCAGATGTGCGCCATCAAAATCCCCCTTTTCAATCTCTCTACCTTTTCAAGATAGGGGTAAGGTCTGTGTACACACTACCCTCCTCAGACCCCATTTGTGGGATTACAATGGGTCTATTATTATTGTTGTATATGAATAAATACATGTAACCTTCAATTAATTAAAATGTGATTTTGGTTTCTTTATGTAGATAATATGTTATATTTAAACTACATTCAGAATTATAACTTGCCCTTAATATGGAGTAATAGTATAAAACTAACATATCACAAGGGTAATGAAAACATATCATATAAAAATACTATGACTAAAATTGGAGAAGGAGGTTTTAGGGATAAGACAAAAGTACCTCTAGACTATGACTAAAATCTCAGAGACACGTCTTAATTAAACTAAGGTCATATTACCCCTGAACACATTTTTTTGTAATTTTGTACATTTTTTGGCTTACGTGACATCCAAGCATCTTCCACGCACCTCAATTACGTGGAGTCACAAAGTGTGTCACTTGCGCCAAAATGTATACAAAATTACAAACAAAATGAGTTTGGGTGGGAGGGAGGGGTAATAGAACCTTAGTTTAGTTAAGGTGTGTCACTGAAATTTCGTAATGAAGTACTAGTAATGAAGCAGTATCAATTTATCAAATGAAATTGATAAATTTATCTTTTATTATTTTATATAATGTAATAGTAATTTTGAATTATTTATTTATTATTTTAATTATGAATATACCACAAAAATAATTTATTTTATCTATGTTAATTTTTTTAATGATGAATTTGGTTGAATGATTTTATTGATGTAAAGACCTAAGTTGAGTGATTTTATTAATATTAAATAAAATTCAATAACTTTCATCGATAAATTCTAAAAGTTAGAATGAGATTAACTCCTTTCTTTTTTACCAGGTCAGTCTACTCCCCTTTTTTCACTCTTTAATTTCTCACAATAATGAAAAAGGTAGGGTTCAATTTTATGACAGATAGGAAAATGATTGGAAGTTTACCCATTATTCTGCGTTCACAATAGTTTTTGTCAGTTAGGCTTCAAATATTTCTCTTTATCAAGTAGCAGAACAAATTAAATATACTTTCTCACCATATACCTAAAGCTGAGAGTTGGTCTTTAGCAATATTATTCAACAATGTCTCATGCTTCTTCTTCCAAAATTTGCAAGTACAATGTCTTTTTGAGTTTTAGAGGAGAAGATACACGTAGAACTTTTGTAAGTCATCTACATAAGGCTTTGGAACAAAGTGGAATCCGCATTTTTAAAGATGATGAGCGATTAGAAACGGGAAAATCAATTTCTGATGAACTTTTAAAAGCCATAGAAGAGTCTAAAATTGCTATAGTGATATTTTCAAAAAGCTATGCATCGTCAAGATGGTGCTTAGAGGAGCTTGCACACATCATAAAGTGTAAAAATGAATTGGAGCTGATAGTGATTCCAGTTTTCTATGATGTGACTCCATCAGATGTGCGCCATCAAAATCCCCCTTTTGCTGATTCATTTTTACAATACAAAGATGATATGGACAAGGTTCAGAGATGGAGGGCTGCATTTGTGGAGGCAGGGAAAATAGCAGGCTA